AAAGACATTCTATAATCATCTATAATCAAAGGTAAGGTGCCAAACCCGTATTGTACCGGAGCATATTCTATATTAAGATGGCATCGAACCGGACCTCTATTCATAGAGCAAGTCCTAGTCTTAAATTCTTAAATAAGGAAGGTCCGACTTATTACTTCTTTTTTGAATATATCTTATATGACTCAGCAAACACAGTCTTAGATACAACGCTCTGAAACTCCTCAATCGACTCTCCACCCCAAGAGCGATAACAACCCTATCTGACTATATATTTTTTGCAACTTCTAACACCTCTACATGGATAGAGCTTGAACCCTTGGGCAGGCAATAAGCATTATATAACCATTATATAACTAAGTCCCTAGTCTGAGTTTGATCTATGGGTCAGGATTGGTAGAAGAGGCCTGTCCTGCTTGACTTTGACTCTTTCCTTGACGTGGAACGATTGCTGCAACGTTTCTTGGTTGATTTTGAACCCCAACAATCATTGAAATGAACGAGCATTTTCGGGGACTAGCCTCCTACCTTATATTTTCATTGGTATTAGATCGAAGAAAGAACAACCATACGCCTATAACTCCACGACGGGTGATCGGATGTACGTCCCGCGATGGGACAACTTACGAAGGGAAGTGATGAAGGAGTGCCATGACTCGAAGTGGGCCGGCCACCCAGGTATTCATCGTACCCAAGCTTTAATCGAACGTTCTTTCTATTGGCCTAACCTTAGGGAGTCCGTTTGAGCTAGCGACGGGGCAACAACCGATCACGCCCCAAGAGTTGGCGAAGGGATATACGGGAGCGAGCCCACCCGCATACAAGTTTGCAAAGGGAAGCAAACTCACTTAGGCAGCTAGGAGCACACTTAAGGTATTACGCTGAGTGACTGGAACAAAGTAGCTCCATAGGTGAAGGAAGGGGAACCCAGAAAGCAAGTCGAGCCCTGCCCGCCAACCAAAGAGGCAGCTTACTGATGAAGAGCTTTTGGCCGAGTTCTCACCTCTTCTGCAAAAGCACGGCTTCGAGTGTTTAGAACCTTTCCTGCTTGCTTTTATATGTCCGGGGCGTTTCTGAATCCGCTTTGCTTGATGACTGAGCCAACTATAGTAAGTGAATCCGATGTTGTTTTCATTTTCGAGTTTTCAAGTTGGTGAAAGCCTTCAGCACCAGCAACCCTTCTTTATCTAGAGTCCCGTTCTTCGGTTGATAGAAAAAAATGAGGGAGGGCCTATCGTGAGGGGACTCTTCTTTCACGGTAGGCAAAGGTCAAGCGGGATCAGCGGCGGGCTTACCTTTTTTATTCGTTTTTTTATTAGTATTGAATTTCATTGTCCCATAAAGAATTGGGAGAAGCTGGCTTGACGACTCAATGGTGCTATCTCTCGAGACTGGACTCCAAGTCACTGTCTGATTCATTTGACCGATAGGGCTTTTTCAATGAAATGGGATTTGGGGCTGGGCCACTTCTTCCAAGAATTGTGAGTGAATCAAGGGCCTCTCACTTTGTTCGAGCAACTACGTACCTTTGACAAATGACAAACTATTTCAGGCTTTCCGCGATTCTATTATGGCATGACTATGCTGTTATTAGGATTACCCGATGCCCAAAGGTTCATCACGATCGGGCGATCAGGCAATTCGAAACATGAAAATAGAATAACGTATTTTTGATTAATGGCTGACGAACTACTTACTTGTGTTTGGTTATTGCATTAAGATTTCAATCTCGCCTGCAGGCAAGGCATATCTCATCTCGGTGGATCTGGAAAGACAGTCCTACTTCTCCTCTTACGCTTATGCTTCTATTTCAGCGTATTCAGTCTATGTTTATTCTTCTGCCTTTGACTTCTTTTGATGCTTCATAGGATGATGACTCTCACTCCGCTTTATAAAGAGGGTCAAGCTAGCTGAAAGCTCAAATCAATTCCTCCAGACGTCATTACTAAGTAAATTGGAACTTCCTTGCTAACGTTGAGTTGGGAGAAGCCCTTCTGGTAACTTATTGAAGTAGGCAAACCGAACTGGCTGGAAAAGACGAGCAAGGAAATCTTGATTTCCATGGCACAACTTGCCTCGAGCTTCGACGTTCCCTCACGCTTCAACAACAGAACAGACCTTCACTGTCAGGCAACGAAAGGTATTAGTTATTGGATGTGATGATCCTTCCGCATACCGAGTTGCCATCACCTCGGAAAATGTTTATACCGAGGGCGTGGTGTCAGTGCAGAGCTTGATAAGCTAAAGCGGAACAGGAATGATGCTGGCTGATTGGAACTTGGCATTCGGATGTTCTAGCTCATTGAGAAAACATTGATGCCAAACCAAAGGGTATGGTGTCAAGAGTTCAGACCGTCGAATGAATTGTGGCCTGGTGGGAGGACTTGTGTTACGATGCAGCTGGCACCTTGAGGTCTCGTTGCAGAGTGGGCAGCGATCGTTCGGAAAACGAGCATGCGTTCTAATGAGGGAATCAAGATGCTCAACCAGAGTAGATAGGCGAACAGCAGGAAACTCTGATTGTACACTATTTACGACACTACCAAGTGTATACACCATGATAACCTCCAATGAATATTGATTCAAAGCATTTATAAACTAGAATTGATTTTATCCTGGGTTGATATACCCATTTTATAAATGATTTCGCATAGGTTATCTATTTTTTAGAGCGAGCGCGAATTGGATGATGAAACTTACTCTTCTCAGGAAGCTCCTAATCTCACTGGCAGTTTCATCATGTCATTTAGGTGATTGATTCCACTTACATCAGTGTATGTAATACGAATACTAACATCACAGGAAGGAAGTTTTACTATTTTGTAGGGCTGCTCTCTTCTGCGTCGACTGCTATGTGCTAAAGGCTGCGGAATAAGAGCGGTAAGGCTTTCTGGATTCAACCCATCTTTTCTGGGCCTTGAATATTAAGCCCAATCTGTGGTTTTGTCATACAATAAGATCCAATTTGTTTGGACTCGTTAGGTTTGGCCCATTACCTTGAGTTAGGCCGAACGTGTACACCTTTTGTTATGAAGATGTGATCTTATCCACCGATGGGTCTTGTTCTAAGCCCAACCCTCTCGTCTTAGGGGAGGATATCCATAAACCTTCAATCACGGGAACTTCACCTTTTTGGTGGACAACCTATGTTGGGCTTAGTTTCACCCAATTTCTTAACTTGTAGTCTAGGGCTTTGCTTGGCATTGGGCTTCGATATAGCTTGCTTTCCTGGTCTTGCCTCTGCTCTCCTAATTCAGTCTATAGGCTTTGGTTTAGGTTCAATCTTATATATAAGTTTAGCTTAGGTCCATCAATCAATCTCTCATAAACCCCTAAGCTGAATCTATATGGGGCCTTGTGTTAGGCCTAGCTTGTGTAGGCTATCTTTCACCTATGGTTTCACCCATACTTGAAACTCTTGTCATTATCATTAGGCCAAAAATTCCTTGTAACGCTCTATTGGTTTCGGTATAATCAATGAATGTATAGGGGTCCACCTAATCTTTCCGCAGGTACGATCTAGACGACCACATTCCTGTTCGCCCAATTGGGCTAATCAATCCAATGGCTTCGCCCGTTCCAGTCCCCTTATAGAAGGGGATCCTAAACTGGATATTCGGAGCCTATAGATCCCGCGTCGGATTGATCTGACTCCAGCGCCACCCCCACGAAATCTTTTTCTTTGTTTTGGCCAAAATTCAAAGTTTATTTATTTCTCCAAGTCTTTTACTTTTCCCTTTTTCTAGGTTTGCTTCTTGAACTTGAACGACCGGTTGTTGAGTCTTATTCCCCCATATGATCTGAGAAAGCCTCTTCTTCGTAAGAAAGCAAGGGCTAAAGCTCAGGGATGGAAGCCAAAACAAAGCGAAAGAAAACAGCATTCAAAGTGGAATGTTGGTAAGAATCGCCCGCTGAAGCAGGAAGATCTGATCGCTACCCCTGAGTGAGAGGGGGTGTTTTCAGAGCAATCAAAGCAATCACGACGAACGAAAGAGGGCCGGATTCGCAAATGTTTATGGTTCTTTTATGGTTCTAAGGGCAAGTACCTCCTACTAAACGTCCTTATTGAAAACGAAAGCGACACCCCTTGCTGAAATAAGAAAAAATAAAGCAGACCACTTTTTTCCTTGGGCCGTAGAGAATAAGACATCATTTCCCCCGGAAAAGAGGATAAGAATCTGATGTCGAAGAGGGATATAATTTTCCTTCAATTCATTATTGAACCAAGTAGTGGCTCTTTCCCGACCGGATGTTATCTAAATCCCTTAATTAAGGGAAGATTGAAATAATCCCTAAAAGTCTCTGTCCCTGTATCGTCAAACTATTAAGGAAACTTCTTTAATAAGCATAGCTTATAAAAATTGTATAATAGCTAACCAACAGCTTGAAAGCGGACTGCTACAGTACTGATTTGATTTGGATTGCTTTCCTCCAGCTATACTACAGAAGGAATTTCTTTCCCTGGCTTTAGAGGTTTCAGCTTGACTTTGATTTAATTAATTGGGCATTTGTCCCGTCACAAGAATAAGCGGCAACCCCTTCTCTTCCTTAGTCTTAGTGGCACAAGCCTCCTTTTCTATTCATGGGAGCTGTAAAGGGAGAACTCAATTCCATTCTTTTTGAAAGCATAACTTGGGCTGTTGTCGAGCTATCCCTCACCTCGATGAAAATACAGATAAAAGTCTATCTGGCCCTCATAGGAATCGAGGAAAGAAGGATTTTAGCAGCAGGGTAGTTGGAATAGTTCTCCGCTGTTCTAGCTTTAGAGGAAATAGCAAATCCTAGATCACCCTTTTGAACTAAACTCTGGGAATTGATAGATAGCAAGAAGTTACGCCGTCACACTATCTGGTTCAGGAAGTTCTATAGCTTGATTTGATTGGCTAATCCGAACAAAAAAAAAGAAACCTAATAAAGGAAAAGGCATTTAGGACATCAATCCCGAGGGGAAGAAAAGAGGCACGAGTGAGATCTCACTTATTAAAGCAAAAGCCATAACCCTAGATGCAAAGATCCATTTTTCTCCTAAGGCTTGGTGAGCACTTAGCTTTGAACTTTGAAATATCAAATAACCATTTGATTTAGAGAAAGTATGCTCCTGGCTTGCCACCCGAAGAAGGGAATTCTATTGAACCTCCGAGACTGATTTGTTTTCCGGTAGTACTAATATGAGTGGGTGCTTTGCCCACTATCTATAAAAAAAACTTGCCCATTGGCTACATTCCGAACACTAATCTTTTACAGCTGCCCGGGATTTGGCCTTGCTCTTCGCCTTACCGAGTTGATAACATCTACACCGGAAACAAGAACTCTACCAACGCTTATTGCCAATAGTTCCTACGTTCACAGCTCAGATTTTTCCAACAGATAGGCCACCGGGATGACAGCCCTAGCCCTGAGAACTCTTATGATGAGGAAATACACCGGTTAGAAGACCAAGAGCAGATAGGGTAAGAGCTGCTACGAAAGCGGTTACCTTTCTAACTTTCCTTCTTACAGGGCACGTCCTACCACAGGGTGCAGCAGTGTGGAAAGAAGGCGAGCTGTTGCTGATGTGATAAAATGCTAGGGAAGATAGATTGACTATGCCCCTTAGCGAACTGACTTCCTCCTTTGGTACGCGCATCGTTTCTTCAGTTGGTGGGGCTAGGTTAATAGCTGGCATTTAATAAACAGAGCGATAGACCCGGGCGGGAAAGGCTAAGCTTTGGTGCCATCGTTTGTCTAGTATACTTAGTGTGCCTAGTGTGAAAGGAAATATGGCTTCGGGCAATGTCACTTCAAAAGAAAATCCTATTCTATTGGCTATTGAGAACTGGGATATATTGATTCTGGTTCTCCAGAATTGCTTCTTTCTGTGCCTGCACCGATGATGGACTATAAAAAAAATTATACTGACCATGGCATAAAACAAAGAAGAATGTCCGGCGATAGCATAGGTGCTCTTGCTCCCGCGTAGATTGAGTCCGTTCGAGTTTCAGCTTGGCTAGGGCGCTGGAAAAGAAGTCATTAAAGCGAGCTCTTTAAAGTGTCAAGGTCCTTATCCGAACCACTATGTACGGAAACAAGGAAGCCATCCCCGTATCTACTAAAGAAAGATGGATTTGTTTTGCACCTGATAGCGGGATGCCTTTCAGTCCAAATTTCCTACTTAGGAAGAGCCCTTCTCAAAGACACGCGAGCCAGCCGGAGCACATGC